ACCTCTGGTTTGATGGTTGCCCATTGCAACTTGGGGGGAATGTTCAGGGCTTCAAGATCTTGATAGTCATCCTATACGTAAAATATACAAAATATGGAGTTTCAAAAACCCAGGCCCCACAGCCACCTGCTCTCCTGGAAATCCTGATGGCCCTTTCAGGACAAGCAAAGAGGGGTCCACTATGCCCTGCTCTCAGCCACCCATTTGTTTGGGTGCTCTTGTCAATGTCGGATCCAGGAATTTTGAAGCCAGACCAGGATGACACGAAGCCATACCAACTGAGAGGGCATGTCGAAAGGTTTTTGGATGCCGGCCGCCCTCAAAAGAAATGGAAGCCACTCCTACGTTCAAGAATACCGCTGCTTCCCTGCGCATTTTCGTGCCGCAGCCCTCGACTGCTACCATGGCCTGGGGGGTTTGCTTGATGCGTCTGCTTGTGTTAGTATGTAGTCAGCTTACTATCAGCTCACATCCGAATTTCATGAACATGCTTTCCATGGCGCCTAGAAATGGCTTCCATCCGAATTAGTCTGTGCCCACTGGAGGCATATTCGGCTAAATGGAAGCTATCCATAAAGACAAGGACAGGATCTTTTCTAGAGCAACATCGCAAGGTGGTCAACAGAACACCAGACTGCAAAACCAAGCTCCAGATTAAGCGAGAATGGGACGATGATCCTCTTCCACAGATGGAGGAGGCTCTTGTGGACTCTGCAGACTATATCTCATGAGTTTTTATGCAGATGGACAAGTGCTGATGCAATGGCACTGTCTTTCGATGATTGTGAGGGCATGGACCCCGCAGAACAAACTGGACTACGCAACCGCTCAACAGTGCACTGAAGAAGACCACTACATACCACATAAGCTCTTTTTTTGCTGCAATCCTGCTGACATGAGGTGTTAGGTGGAGGTATCGCTTTGTCAGATCGATTCTAATATGAGCTGGTGGTGCCTCAGGGGTGCTCGCAAAATGCTGGAGCTAAGGGTCATCTGTGCAACTGGGCTCCCATGACTTTGCATGACTCTCAGTTCCAAGAAGGGTTGCCGAGGAGTCCCGCGACAAGAAGTACTCGCACGGTGGCTAAAACTGCTTCTCACACGTTGTTGAGATTCATGTCAAGCAGATAAAGCAGGAACGCTCGACCTAACTGTACCCTCTCGACGGCTGATGTGCAACTCATGAGCCCACATGAATCCACGAAGTCTCGTGGTTGTGCCTCCACATCCTGATCCTGCTCCCGCCCCTGTCCTGCCCCATCTTCGTTGCTGCAAAGAGACACTACAAAAACTGAAAAATAGGCCCAAAATGGTCCACAGTGACATGCTGAACGATGAGCATCACCAAATATCGCCAGATGAACGCGGGACACTCCAGAGATCTCCAGAGCACTTGCAAGCCCAGATCTGTATCAATCTGCAAGGGTTACATTACAGAATCTTGTTGGATGTTTTCTGCAGAGCCTCACTGCGACTAGTGAAATCCCAAGGTCCAAAATGATCCATCTCTCCGCAAACTCTCGATTCACTTAGAGGAACAGCTTGGACGAGATGTGCTCTGAATTGATTTGCCGGGTCATAGTGTGAACCTGACAGCAGGTGTTCATCGGAGACTTTGCACAAATCAGCATGAAACTGGAGCAGACCTCCATCTGCTGCAACACAACTTCAGTGTGTGCCGCTTACTTTTGGCGTTCCGGAGTCTCCCGCATCAATCAAGTCAAAGTTCCTGCAGAAGCATTGTAGCCCCCTCTCGCCTCCCTCCCAACCGAGAGCGCAAGCTTCGCAAAATCACCTTTCCAATTCAACTTGGGCATTGGTCTGCGAAGTGTTGCCAAGCATTTACAGCTCAAGCGGAAGTCCCGCACATTCAATTGAACTCCTACTTGTCTGAGGCGAATCCAGGCCGGCACACAAGCATGTTGCACTCGTCTCGGGAGGTTTTTGTTTATCGGAAGTCGGGGCTGGAAGTGACAATTGGAACACTGCCACGAAAGGGCCTCAACCGAGAGTCGTGTCCCAAAATGGCTTCTATGCAGCCCCAAACACGCAGTGGCACCCGGCACAACAACACTCTGCGAGACCCCGCATTCACAAGTGCTGTTGAAGCATACATCCATTGAAGGTGGGCTGACAACTCTTGGGGGACTCCGTACAAAGCTGGGAAGTGCTGCTGGACATTATTGACGAAACACAGGAGACACAAAATTCGCATCGACACGACTTTAGCAGGTGTGTTGACAACAATAGTGACACGGCCGAGAGGCGCGCAATCGCAGGGCCCAAGCATTGGTCCACAACTCCCACAAGATTAAAGCCAGCTTTCTGAAGCTTTTGCAACACCGATTCTCACCCAGGAGTCTCCTTGCGGAACTCTAGGGACAGGTTCTTGATGACCAGCGTCGAAACCTGATTTGTTGCCAGTTTTCATGCAGCCTTTGTCACAGCTTGCGCCTCTCCTATTGTTTGGCGCCTCCTCAATGCCACGACGAAAGGCCCCTAGCTGCTTCCCGCCTCAAGCAGTGCAAACCTCAAAATGACAAAGGAACTCCAATCCAATTCCGAAGCCTATGAGGGCGGGTGAAGCTGGCGCAGTTGCACAAGGCCTCCGTGATGATTTCATTGCTTAGAACCTACGAAGTCTTTGGCTCTCTCTCTCTCGAAGCCTTCTGCCTGGGGCTTGACGCCGTTGGGCCAGACGGCCTGAGCGTCCTTTTCAGAGTCACTGCACTGTACGCGCAGTGTACGTCCGTGCTATCCACTTGGTCTGCTGAGGGCTTTGCGTGGAAGCAGTTGTGGAGAGCAGCTCAGAGCTCGCGATTCTGGCTCCGGCTCCTAGTTGCCCCCACCCCTCCCAAAGCATTGATTGGCCACTCTCTCTTTTAAAATTCCTGACCGGATGACGACTTTCAACCGCCGTGATCAGCAGAAAGTATCCCCTTCCAACAATTCCATAAGCTAGTCCAGAAAGCCCTGGAGAACTCAGAACACCTTTGGAAGCTTACTTAGGGCCATGCTGTTGAATTTACAGCAGGGACTTGCGCAATTCCAGCTGCTCGCCTCTTTTGCATTTGTCTAATAGCAGGCTGTTCAGACCATTTGTAGGGTCCCAACATCAGAACCCATCCAGCACCACCAAACCATCTGAGGTTAGAAATCGTTTCTGTGAAGCTTTGGATGAAAACACCCCCATAAGAGCAGGAGAGTTTACGCGACTCTTCCCCTTGCCTGCCCACTTGTGCGTTCCTGGTCGCCTCTGCGGTCTGGAGGCACTGGCCTCAGGATTGGGACAACTTGTCCTCTTGCTGCCTGGAACGAGTGCTCTCCGGAACTGAGTGCCCTCTAGGCTCGTAGCAACCAGCTGCTTTTACAGCTGGAGCCCTTCGCGAGCTCATGTGAAGACATCCTGGAGATCATGCCTATACTATGCTGCATGCCGTGAAGTTCCATCCAAAAACTGACTACTGAGGTGACTGCAGCAACGAACTTGTGGAAGCTTCATTCGCGGGAACAAACCTGTCATTCGATTCTTGCAGAGTCGGCCGACACAAGCATAGGCACTGTTCCTAGCCAGGTTGGCTGTGACGGACTGAACTCCGGTGCAGCCGGGTTGAACCTGTTGACATTTAAGTTGATCCTGTCTCCAACTGCTTCTGTCGGTCTGAGACGCAGCAAGCTCAGGCAACTGCTCAAAAAGCGGTTCATGTTCAATCGCTTGCGTCACAGCCACCATTAGTGATGCTTCAGCAAGGTCGCCTTTTCAAAAGAATCTCTGATCAGGGCAAACAGCGACGCTACAACTTCCTCAGGTCCGGGCAATGTCTTTGCTCGCGGCTTGGGTATGGCCGTATCAGCAAGCTTGAGCCCAACAAGGTGTGCCAGAATGCGTCACAGGCATAACTGCAGCTGGAATTAGTGCTTGTCGCGCAGCTAGAAGTGGAGCAGACTTTTGGCTGGTCAATCAGCAGATGTCGCTGCTAACGACGCAAAACAACTGATCGCCGGGTGCTATGGCATCAGACTTAGTATGATGTTGGCTACCATCCCCTTCAGTTGCTTCAAAGGCGTTCGCCGATTACATGTGCTTCATCTCGACCTGTTGGCCAGCGAGCTCAGGTCCTTGCCTGTGCGAAAAGGCCAGGCCAAGGCTTTGGACTGGCCTTTTCCAGGGTAACCTGCGGTTTGCAGATTGAGCAATGCACCGTCTATCAGCTTTTTAATTTGAACTTTGCTCAACGTCCAGATTGAAAGCATCCACCGCAATGCGACAATAGGAGAAGCCTTTGCAGCCGCTGCCATAGCCGCACCTGCTGTTGGCATGACCAGCCCACCGATGTTCAGGATTGACACTGACAGTGATTTCAGGCAAGGCCTGGCTTATTGTTGGAAAATTCGAGTCACTCCCCTAGACCACCGCGACATCCTCCCATCCTCTAAACTCATCGTATACCAGATCCCTCATCCCAAGCTGCGTATGCTTAGCTGCGATTGCTTACATTGAATTGCACCGGTGTACGTAGACTCCTGAGAAATGTAAAGCACTCAAGAGCACTCCAAGGAAACTGCAAATGCACTCCACCGACGGCCGTTTCGCACTTCTCGAGGAGCATACACTTGTGCAGGTTTCCAATCCGGTATATTTGCCTTGATGCCTGGTTATCCACCAGCTTTTCGAACCTCCGTTGTGTATGCTTGTTTGTTTGCTCCGATCCGGGAGCGTTGAAAATCTTTCCTCTGAGGCCTTGGGCTCTTTAGGCTCAACATGATCCAAGCAGCATGCAACACGTTGACGCTTGCACTCACAGCAGATTGCTTTCAAACCAGCTTTGGACATGTCTACTTGTACTGCAGACAGACATGTGCTCAACTGCTCGACTTGACTGTGCGTGCTTGACCTGAAAACCTAACGCAAAAGCTGTTGTTTCAAGCGCTCAGCAACATCCGCGTGTTTGTCATGACTGTGCCTGACATGTAAAACCTACCGCAAGGGTGTTTTTTGGCCACAAGCTGCACTCTACGTGCCCATGTCGACCATTTTTTGTGCAGGTACAGGAATCTGCGTCTAGACGTCCTTCCAACCATGTTCCGGCCGTAGCTTCGTTGGCATGGCTTCGAACAGACCGCCATGCCCCTGCTCTACCTACAACTCTTGGTAACAGAGTTGGACACACGTAAGCGGATCAATTGATCCAATGGGTGGCGGCTGCAAATCTTCTTTCCTTTTACATTGTTGTCTTGAGCTTACTTTACTTTGGCTTTTTAAATCCTCTGAAAATCTTTGCTCTAAGGCGCGGTTTCCGACATGTCATCACATGTACTGTCATGCTTGCACACCAAAGACTGCAATGACATGTCTGCACGTGTATTGTCATGTTTGCACATCCAGAATGCACTGACATGTAAACTTGACCGACATGTTGCACCACACTCACTGACACGTAACTGTCAAGAATGCAAAACGGCTGACATGTTTGTGTAATGGCACAAAAGGAACCTTTGGAAAACCCTACTTGAAGCGCTAATCTTGGCACAGGGGCCTTTTGCTAATCTTGGATGGCACAGGGGCCCATCCGTTTCTTTCGCAAGTTCATGGAATTGGTCAGACTCCACATCAGCTGTGGCATAGCCNNGCCCTCTTCGTTGGGCAACCAGCTATGCTCACTGGATTGCCCCCCTGCTGTGTTTCTTTGTTTAAACAAGTTAGAACTCAAAGTTCATCCTTTCCAAATTTTAGATTGAATCAACCTAGGCTTAAATGTTGAGCAGCCGACAACAACTCTTTGGAACAGAGCTTGACACACACACCCCTTCCATATCGGAAGGGAAAAGCAAACTAAGTTTTTTTGGCGAGTACGACAGCTCAATCAAACAATGTCTAAGGGGTGAAACTGTGGATGCAATTTGCACAGAAACTTTGGGGCAGATGTTGCAATGTTCGTGTTCTTGAACGCGGAAGCGATCATGCTGGTGTGGATGGACTGCTTGTATTTCTCCAGCACTCTGTACATGTTGTGGATTCTCTCTCGAATTCCTAGTTCAAATTCACCAGGATTGTCGTCATCATCTGATAATCGTGAGTTCTGGCTGGAACTCATTGGCATTGATGGATGGGTTTTCATGCACTTCAACCTGAAACGGCGAAGGACACGTAGATCACATCGTCTGGCAATTTCTTGTTCAACGGACTGCAACAGAAGTTGAGCTTCACGACGAAGTTGCTGAATTTCATGATCTGAAGCATTAGGAAGTCTCGCAATATGAGGGAAAGCGATCCATCGATCACCAGAAAAGGTCATGGCGATGCTACAAAACAACAAACTAACATGAAGCCTGTAAGCAAAAAGTTGACGCGTCACTGGTAAGGTAGCAAAAAATAAACGGTAGGAAATAAACGGCATGCACTGCAGGCAACATTGCAACAAAGAGTACAGTGAAAGGTACAGCGAAGGTTGCACTTGCGCCAATTTTCAACTCTTTGGTAGCTTTCAGTCTTAACCTAATGGGGACTTGACTACTGCAAGAAACATCTGATTGCATAGTCGTCCAGAAAACTCAAAGAAGGCATCTTGATCATCATCTGAATCCACCAATTGCCACCAATGGTCGGACTTGGCAAGGAAGGTTCCAATGTCGTGACATCTGCTGCATTCTGTGAAGTTGCAAAATTGCAACTCCATTGGACGACTGCAATGTAGAACAGAACCATTGTTTGGAAACAAACCCAAACTTGGCGAGTCTCTTCAAGCAAAGGTTCTTGCCTTTAATGAAGATCTTGGGACCAAATTGGCTGGAAGACTGAACAATGTGGCGACATCTTGTAAGATTCTTGGCACGAAATGCCGCAATTGAAGACTCAACACGATCTTGGGCAAGAAGGAATGCTTGGTCATCAGCAAAGGGTGGTTCTGGAAAAGAATCTTTTCGCAAGCTTGACGTTGAGGACTCTAAGTCGCCGCCAAAGTACACATCCGGGATAAAGACATCCAGAATAAAGAAGGAGATCTTGATAGATTGCTGCGGAATGGGGTCTTCAAGCACAACCATGGCTACTAAACGGGAGGCTCAGATTCATACTCAGAATGATACTCAGAAACTGAGCAACATAGCCCACGCAAGCACCTAAAAGCTTGAAGGCTGCAATGTGAACTCACCTGACAGTCCTCAAGCATGGCAATAGTTCGGAACAGTCTTTTGACAATTCGCAATTTGCAATTGACAAATAATTGGAGCTGTCAAAATTGGTAAGAAAACCGTAGAGAAAAGTTCTTTCCTTTGCAACAATGATTGACAAAGCACTCAATATGGTACTGAGTCTAAATTGAAGACATCACGAGAAGCTTTGGGTTGAGATGCTTTGCCATAGCTAACAACCTTCCTGTCAGTGCCCTGTGGCACATACGGCTGGGCTTCCAAAGCTGAAGGTGAAATGTCTGTTGTAGTCCTGGCGTTCATTGATGGTAACGTCCTCGTCTCCGTCTCTGTCTCTGGGCCACCCGGCTGGCTCTGCAATTACGTCACCATCATTGGGAGTGATCGGACTTCCGATCATGCGAGAAGGGCTCCCCGCCGTCTGAAGATCTCCACGATTTTGAATGATTCTATCAATGGGGCTCCTGGCTTCCATCAGTGCATCACTGAGGCTCCTAGCTCGATTTGTCAATGCTCTGGGGCTCCCGACATCAGCCGCGTGGCTTTTCCGAGGCTCAGCACCAATGTGATCATTAAGATGTGGAGTAACAGGAGCAGTAAGAGTATCTGAAGTTTGCTGATTGGTCACGATGTTGGTCAAGGAAAGGAGCTTGCGGCACAAGTCTTCAATGTTGCTGGCAAACTCTGTCTGAACATGTTGTAGACCAATAATAGATTCCCTGATGTCATTCTGTGTCTGTTGAACTTCTCGAAGTTGATTGGTAATGACGTCAATCTGAGACTGACAAATACGTTGGAAACTCACAAATTGTTGGTATCGAGCGCTCTAGTGGCGCTAGAGGGGCATGCGCTGCGTTTGCCACAGATGCTGTAGGTGGTGAAGGCGCTGAAGCTTTGATAGTTGGAGGTCGAGTAATCGGTGGGCGAGGTACATACTGAGCGCTGGTGAGTTCTGCATCACCAGCAACTGGAAAGGTAGTGGGATGCGCTGTACCCATGGGCCGATTTTGCATTGTGGAAAAATTGATACAAGGGCCTGAACTTGAACCAACGAAAATGCTGGAAAACCAGAGAACAACAAGTTCTCAACGCAACAAGAATGATTATTGAATGCATTATGTCAAGGTGCATTGCGTCAATTTTGCACCATCTTAGGACTCCAGTGTAATCCTAGCGGGTGAAGCAGGATGTCTTAAGTAAAAATCTGTTAGCAGCTTGACCATGTTGGCACTGGAGGCAATAGCACATGTCATAGGTGAGGCTGCAAGTGCACTCCGAATCGTTTTCTTCAATGTCCATATGGTCTCGATCTGACAAGAAATGTTGCGCAACTCGAAATTCAAAGGGTGGACACATGAAGCCTGTGAGGTAGCATTTCAAACAGATCCTTGTAGGTCTCGAACAGAGCTGCATCAATATCCTTTATCTCGGCTCGCTGGGTGTGCTTTAGCTTGAGCACGAGGATAGCATTGCACGTGACGGACAGTCGCAAGCGTAGCTGCTCTGGACCCGAAGGTAAAGCTACCGAGGACGATCCCTTCTTGACAGAGATATGCCTTTTGCTATCGCAAACTGGCAATAGCACATCGGGATAGACTTCGTCCCGACTGACCACTTCGTTTAGCGGCTCCGCGTGGAATTCTCCTCCCTGTAGCTCACTTAGCTTCTTTTCCACGTACTCCTTGGAGGGCACGCGTTTGTCTTCCGGCTCGCCATGAGCCGTCTCGACACTACTCACTTCAAAGGGGGAATCCCTTTCCAGACTACGCATGATGGCCGCCCGGATTGCGTCAGGGCCCCGTTCATAAGCAGTGGCCAGCAGAGCGATGGCGCTCGACGGGTCTCCACTCCGCGCCCTCCTCTTCATACTGGGCCCAGAGCTCCAAGTCACTGGAGAAGCTGTCGTCTCCTTTGGCGGGGAAAGGTTTGGGGCGACGGTTGCCTGCTTGGTCGGTCGCTCTTGGCGGGTGGCAAAATCACCGGAGGGCTTACCGCCAGTCCTGGCAATGGCCTTTGAAGTACCAGGGCGCTTCCGATTCCCGCTCTGACCAAAGAGGTTGGAACCGGACCAAGACCAAGCCTTCCATCGCTTCGACTCCTTTACATGATCTATAGACCTCGACTCGAGCTCCGGTCGGCAGTGGGGCGGAAGCCCTTCTCCGCACCGGACCGGTGGGGGAGCAGCATCGGGCGGCAGTACGCTCTCCCTATCATCAAAGAAACATGCCTATCCAAGGGGTCGTCCCGGGAACCACTAAGATTGCGGATGTTGGCTCTAAAAACCTGACGAAAGTGAGTTCTCTCCCTGGCGTTTAGAAGGAGTACGAGAACCTTTAGGGCTAGGGCTTCTAGCGGGCTCGCTCAGGCGGCGCTTACAGCAGGCTGCCCCGTTACGCGCACCTTTGACGGTGGCATAACAAGAACACTGCACTTTCTACCCTGGCAGGCAAGCATGTAAAGCTGACTGTGATGGTTTCGCAACGAAGCGATTTCCTTGCCTCCCAGCATGGTCTGCCTCCTGCAGACGAGTTGGCTCCGGGGTGGTTTGTCGTGGCAGCCCTCGGGCGCTAGCTCATGCTGTTTGCCGCGCACCACAAGTCCTATGCGTTCAGTACACCTCGCCCCAAGTTGAGACTCGATCATAGGCTCCAAGATCAACGAGGGCTTTGGCCTCTACCGCTGCGTAGGAGCTCCAATGAACTCCCCTGGCAATCGCGGCCACGATGAATCTGGTCCTCCCTTTCCGCAAGCTCCCTTACATGATGGGCGGTGGCACCCAGCACACGGTTGTGGCTCACCCATAACCCACGCCGATCTACGCGAGAACGCCTTTCCGGATCGACGGGCTACCCCAGGCTCAAGCACGACCACCAAGTCGTGTGGTTTTCGATTGACTCCTCGCCCACGGACCTCACGCTGGAAGTGCTCAGCATCAGCTGCTCTAACCCGCTGGGCCCAGTCAAGGTGAGTCTTTGGTATCCTTGCAGCACCGGCGTCTCCGGAAGGTCAACAGCAGTAGCCGGCCGCCACCATCGACTGAGGAAGTGGAGTAAGAGGAGCACCAGGCCGAGCGTAAAGAGGGCCACGACCAAACAGCAACCCATAGCCACTGATGGCCACCACGTGCCGAACATCCACACCCCGCAGGTATCCACAAGGAAAAGGAGCCAGCCTCCATTCAAGCTCCTACGAGACTTGGGCGTGGAAAAGATCGAAATGCCGCCTCCCCAAGCGAGGAGGCGGAATCCCCAAAAGAACCAGTTATCGGACGGCTGCGTCCTGGCATTGTTTTGGGTTGCACTAGAGTTTGAGGAGCTGCCCTGCCCGCTCAAACGCCAGAAGTCCCACCAAGCTCAGCTGGTGGAGATTGATGTGGTACCGCCACTGTCCGATGGCGGACCAACTCCTGCCGAACTACCGCTCGGGGCAGCTTGGTAGGAGAACGTCATACTGGCTCCCCTCTGAAAAAACGGGGGCCCACCAACCCCAGCAACCAGTCGGGCCGGAAGCGCCCAACCGGCGCCATTATGCCACAGGCTTTTCCAAATACAGGTACTGAGAGCTCGGGCCAAATCTTGAGACATGCCCCTGCTCCCGTACAGAACTCAATGTTAGCCTCTAACAATCAAGTCCGGAGCAATTATAAGTACTCCTCCACCAACCAGCTCAAGGCCTCAAGTAGGTCCTGGCAATGCCTTTGCTCGCTGCGTGGGTATGGCCGTATCAGCAAACTTGAGCCCAACACGGTGTGCCAGAATGCATCACAGGCATACCTGCAGCTAGAATTGCAGTGCTTGCTGCGCAGCCAAGAAGTGGAGCAGACTTTTGGCTGGTCAATCAGCAGATGTCGCTGCTAACGACGCAAGACAACTGATCGCCGGGTGCTATGGCATCAGACTTAGTAGGATGTTGACTACCATCCCCTTCAGTTGCTTCAACGGCATTCGCCGTTTACATGTGCTTCATCTAGGCCCGCTGCCCAGCGAGCTCAGGTCTTTGCCTGTGCGAAAAGGCCAGGCCAAGGCTTTGGACTGGCCTTTTCCAGGGTAACCTGCGGCTTGCAGATTGCAATCCCATGGCAAGAAGCAATACACCGTCTATCAGCTTTTCGATGAAGATGAGGTCTGCGCTACGACTGAACCTTTGCTCAAAGTCCAGGTACAGCCTCAGCAAAACGTCAAAAACCATGAAAACAAGTGTGCTCTCTCTCTCTCTCTCTCTCTCGTTTTCAAGGTTTCGGCCCTCCGGGCAGCATGGTGCTGCGAGAGCTCCCTCCACCAACATCTTGCCACAGTGCAAGACCTTGGTCACAGCACGGTCAAAAACTGCAGTTGCACAGTTTTGAGCTGAGGCTTGCTTTGAGTGACTTCGGCTGGAACTGAACCTCCACCAGCAGCGCAGCAGGATGGCAACAACTAGAAACTGGTTGCTTAGCCCTGCCTTGATATCAGTCTTGGCAGTGTCGCTCGGCACATGGACTGAAATCTCAACCTCCTCGGTGTCCTTAAGAATTTGCAGGATCTGAACTTTTTGCTGCAGCCTTGCATCCAGGCCTGCCGCCATTTGTAGGCATCAGTAGACCCACCTTGCTGTGGAGGCCTTGCAGAAGGGCTTGTGAGGTAGCCCTTGGCAGAATGCTGCCAAAAGCAGGTCAAGGTGTCACTTACTTCTAGTCAGCTGGCGGTGGTCCAGGAGGTGCAAAGGGAGCAGGTGCTCCAGGTCTCGGTAGCCCTCCAGCTGCAGCCACTGCCTTGTGAACTGCAGATTGAAAGCATCCACCACAATGCGGGAAGAGGAGAAGCCTTTGCGGCCGCTGCCATAGCTGCACCTGTCGTTGGCATGACCAGCCCACCGATGTTCAGGATTGACTCTGACAGTGCTGTCAGGTAAGGCATAGGTTCTGTTTGGAGGCATCGAGTCACTCCCCTGCATCCTCCCATCCTCCAAACTCATTGTATACCAGATCTCTCATCAGCCCGAGCTGCTTCCCCGCAATTGCTTACATCAAATTGCGCCGGTGTACTTAGACCCCTAGAAAGTGTAAAACACTTCAAGAGCGCTCCAAGAAAACTGCGAGAGCACTCCATCGATGGCATTCTCGCACTTCTGGACGGGCACACACACACACACACGAGAGAGACTGCGGCGCGAGCACAATGCCGCGCCCAAATTGCGCGGACTCCCGTGGGCATGGAAAAAGCATGCGCAATGCCACCACCAATTCGAAGCAACCAGCCGACGTTAGCATGCTCTTTGGGCGACAAAGCTTTCATATGAACGTCAGAGGAAATAGATCAACACAGAAATGCAACAGCAACAATCAACATCGACAATCAGAACAAGCCCATAATTACAGATCATACGGCCATGCCTCCAGGATTTTCTGGTGGTTCTGGAAACTTGTCCCAAATCTTGTCACCGTATCTGACAACAAGCTGCATGGCCTGAAGCAAACGCAGCTGGAGTGGCGTTTCCGCTCCCAAGTCCAACCACATACTGCGCCTCCGACACGATCCCCTGCGGGTCCTGTGACGGCTCTATGGCCAGCGCCTGAGCTGCCAGCACTTCTCTCCTCGCCAACTGCTATGTCAGGAGAGTAGCATGCGGACCTCGAGCTTGAGAGCTTCTATTTCCTGCGAGAGTTCTCGCTCGGCCGCTAGAACCTTGCAGATAGGTACGGGCAGTATGCTATGAGTTTGATCTGGCAAGCATTCGCACGGCCAGTGGCTGAATTCCAAAACTTCGATGTAATTATGCCCTTGGAGAAGAGCTTCCAATAGCCACGCGCCTGGGCCCCAGCGTCAGCACGTCTTGCTACCGCATCACTCCCAGTAGACGAGAGCGAGACATCTGCGTCAATCTTTTGCAGCAGAGACATATCTCCAATTGCACGCTGCATCAGTCTATACCTGTCCAAGTCTACGAACCCTCCTTTAACACCCTGCAGAAACGCATATGTTTTGGTTGATTGAGCTGACAATAAATCATGTCCACACATCTGTACGTATCACTCCAAACAACTTCAGGTGATTTCAATGTTGAGCAGACCTACGCTATGGAGCACTTCAGCAGGTCTTTCGCATGCGCTGGCAGCTTGCACACCCACTGATCTCCGGCCATGTCCTGAACGAAGCTCAACACGCTTCAAGTAATCAATCATGGCATGGTTTGCTTCCACCAAACTCCTCAATCACGGGTCCTCTTTACTTCTCTTGCAACCCGTCATGTCATGACAGCCCTGCGCGAATGCTGATAATTCGGTGAGCGACGCTGTCACCCTATCACCCCCTTCCAAAATAAATCTCCTAATAGATCCCGTGACCTACCGCCCAGCCAACCAGTAATCTTGCTGCCCTACTTAGGTGCCTGACCAGATTTGTTGCGTGGCATCCCATCTCATACCACAAACCAGACCTTTTGATGAAATTCCGGCCGTCTTGTTACGTGAGGGGCAGGCCATGGTCAACGGAAGCTAACAGGTGCATGAGATGCCTGTGCATCGTGGCTTTCAACCTGATGAAGGGATAGCTGGTTGGCTACTGGTAGAGCATGACACACGAGCAAAGTAACGAAGGATCCGAACGACAGGTGACAGGATTGGAAACGATTACGGCACAAAGGAAGACATGACAGGGCCGGCTGGAAACAAAGTAGATACGCATGAGAACGATGGTGCGAAATGCAGGAAGGCTCAGTACGTGATATGTGTGATTTCGATGACGATGACTGATGAGGAGGCTGCTGCTGTTGATGGTGATAAGAACGTGATGATGACTTGGGCAATGATGGACTTTGGATAGGTGCATGGCACTTCGTCAAGAATATCAGGCTGATGTCCTTTGCGAACTCGCCCCGCAGCTTGTCTTTCAGCTGCTGGTAGGCCTTAGAAACCAGGCAGTTCGCAAGCTGGGTCTGACTGTCTAGCTTGCAGAGGCCTCGATCTTTTCCTCCGGTAGCGCATTTCTCGGATATGTGGGCTTCACCTCGACTGATCACATCTGCTACGCACAGAGGTGCGACGGTTCTTCGCCAACCTGAGGCCCAAGCACCCAACTCTTCCAGAGACGACGGTTGCCTAACACGCAAGCGCAGGAGGGGGGTGCCGAAGTTTAAGCAACCCCAAGCCTCAAGGCCAACCAAAAGCTCACTGCGGAAGAGATGACCAGGCTTACCGCCACCACGACTCCGACAGCCAGCCTTACTGCCACTGTCTCAGAAACTTACTTTTGCCAACAGTCTTGCTTTGCAGCATTCGCATGGCAGCAATCAACCTCCTTGTCCAAGATGTGAACTTTGTGAACTGCATACTGAGCAGGCCGCAGCCATGCTGCCATGATGCGGCAAGCCCGCTAGGCGCCTCTTTGGGCAGCAGTTCATTCCCAAAAGTGAACGAAAACGAAGGCGGCACGCCGCCTTGTCAATTTGCCACGCTGCTCAATATCAGGACCATGGCTGGCTGACGTTTGAAATCGGGCATTGCAAGTTCAGGTGTGGCCGATCCGTGAGTGCGGTCAGTCTTTGCCTTTGTCTCCATTGTGCCGGTGATGCGTTTAGTGCGCGGTTACAGTCTGATGTGCGTGGGCTGCCAAAGCATGGCCTGGATATAATCTGAATAGGCTGAGGGTCTGCAAGGCTTCATTGCCTCAAGCTAACAGCCAAAGACAAAAAACATCAAGAGGCGCCTGAGATGCACTGCATATGTCCGCTGAAAGGAGCTCCAGCGGCACAGTCACCGTTGAGGATGGGGGTTTGGATTTGGAACTTGCGGCTCTTTCTTGTGTGAAAGAGGCCCTGCCATAATGCCCAACAATTGTAACGGAATCAAATGCAATCTTCGCAAAGATCCCACCACAGCCTACTTGGCTTTACATCGTTAAAGATGAGACCACACTGCAAGACCAGCAAGCTTAACGCTTTTGAGAATTTTGACGATGCACGTTGCCATCCCCAACTGTATGCACCATTCGATGCCACTCTGAACAGGGGTGCCATGCATCTAGTCATCGTCGACTTCCTCTGCACGAGCTTGAGCTTTGGAGCCCAGACTCCTGAAGTCAGCAGCGTGTGGCGTCTGGGTCGTGCGATGTGCCGACTTGTGAAGCGATCGCCAGCCTTGCTCGTTGGACTGTCTGCTCTGTTGCCTTTGCCAGATCATGTTTTGAGCACTACGACAGAGCCCTGCACCGATCAGCCTGTGCTATGGCGACCTCGCTGGCAGCCTGCCACAGATCAAGGACACTTTGATCAAGGGATTGTGTGAGCATCGCGGTGAGGGAGTCCTGAAGCTGGCGGAGCTTTGAAAGTAATGCCCCAAGGGTGTCAAGGCCTTTGGCCACAACCTTCCAAGCACTGCACCACTGCTTTCACAGTGCTTTGCGAAACAGTCCAAGATCTGATGTTCCCACCCAGCCTCGCCGCTTCGGGCCTCTATCTCTGCTGACAGCATGGCGTTGGCTCGTCGCAGACCTCTGCTGCGCACATGAAAGGCACCTGCCCTGAAAGGTGCTGGTCTCAAGTAATCAGGTCGTAGCTAGACCTTTTCCAACGTTTGTGCTTGGACAATGCAGTCGCGTGATCCTGCACCTCCAGCTCTTTGAAACATTTCTCCTCATGCAATACGATGTGCCGTGCAAGTTGACCTGCCTGATGCAGATCGCTCTGCTGCTGGGCAGATCCTGGAAGCACAGGCTGATAAGGTCATCGGCGCGCGGCAACTGGCTGCAGATCCAAGCCCCTTTCAATCACGGATCTCCGCCCCACCTCCTGTTACATACCATACCTCCTTGTCGCAACCTGCTTTTACATATCTTTCTCACGAATGCTTGGTAAATGTATGCGTCCAAGATGTGAAAGAAAGAGCCTTGTCGCTGAGGAGCTTGTTGCAAGCATTTGCAAGCTAGGCATTTCTGCTGCAAGATGTTACAAGCCTATATGGCGGAATGGCCCCCCAAGCCTGTTACAAACCCGTTGTTTTCTTCACGGCCAACTCCACGCACATGACCATGTAGGCGAACCCGAACAAGACGGAGGAGCCTACCCCGCAATTCTACGACCGCCTACAGTACCAAACATCCCGCAACACTACCGTTGAAATTCAGTTTGCCTCTTCCGGAACATGTGTGCTTTTGCAAATCATCGAATTAGATTTCAATAAAGCTCCACGAGTACAGAAATCACACCCTTCTCTCTAGCCATTGGCAGCGCCTTCTTGCTCCTGAGGCTGGACCGAGGCACCTTTGATGCTGATAGTCGAATGCTTTATATGAAGGCCAGCAGAGCACACTGGGAGTTAGAGCCTGCTCAAGTCTGCAACTGCAGTGGACAGAGGAACAGGCGTTGGCCATCGCTTTGTTCTCCAGGAGCTTCTCGCTGCGCTCCTCCTGATCACCGTGCGAGGGAGCCAAGTGTATCTAAGCCGCGCGAGCTGTCCTGTATCCGGAGATAAACTCCCAGAGACATTTGAAGGGGCTGGCGGGGGGACCTGCAGGCAGGTTGGCGTAGCTGCACGCAGCTAGCTTGCCAAATCTTTGCGCCTGAACAGGCCTCAGCTCCTCAACCTGGGGTTAAGGTAAACTCAACGTCACGAATCAAAACTTGGCTTCTCTGTGCCTGTCCCGGCTGTCCCGGCGGTCTTGGGATTGGTCGTGTTGGAGCAGTGTCCATGTAGGGCGGAGCCTGGTTCGCTGCATATACTGAACACACCCAGCCCCTCAGCCATGGCAGCCACAGGCTTTCTAGGTCCCAGGCCATTCTAGGGTCGGGCCACCTGGCATAAGGCTCTTGCTGCACTGCTTGCACCTGTAGCAAGGACCAGGAAGCAAAACCAACACGTAATTGATGAAGTTGGCTGGGGGCTTAGCTCGATTGAGCACTGCACCCACACCTGCAGCTGCACCCACGCCTGCTACAAAGTAGCAAGAAAGCACGGATCTCGCCCTGACCTCACCTGAACCTGGACTTGACATATGAAATCTTGCACCTGCTGCTCCAACACCAGCTGCAGCCACCTGAGCAAAAGTCAGCCAACATGTCATGACGGATATGGAATCTGTAAGCTTCATGCATCAGGATTGACGGTGGTCAGCGCTGCCCCCGCCACAGCGCCGCTGGTGAGACCCAGGGCAGCTCCAGAAGCAGCTCCTCCTGCAGCCCCGGCCTCCGCATGTGCTGCGCAAATGCTCGAATGAGGTGGTTGAAGATGAGGCTTCAGCCCTTCAGCTCTTCAGCTCTTCAGCTTGCAGCTCTCTTCAGCTCTCAGCTCAGGAGCTGAGTGTCGGGCAAGGCTGCCTCCGGAGCCACCAAGAGCGGCGCCGCTGCCAGCGCCGGCAACGGCACCAGTGACCGCACCAACGAGAGCTCCAGCAATGATGTCCTGAAAACAAAAATTGTGCGGTCCGAAGGGTTGTCGGTATCTGGCCTCCACAACCAGAGGTGTACGCAGCTCTCGGTGCCTTTCCGCAAAACCTGCGCGCTGAAACCTAAGTCCACTAAGCTGCCCTTGCTGCCCTGTTCCTACCCTTGCCTCGAGCGGGAGGCTCAGGTCCTTGTCAGCGCGTCGCAGCAAAGACAACATTCTGCCCAGGTTGGAATGAGCTGAACTGGTCAAAACACACAACTGGGTGGTACTTTAGGTACGTAAAGGCCTGGAAAATAACCTTTCAGTTCTTGCGGGTCCCACCCCAGAATTAAATCCAGACCACAAACAGAGGTCTGGAATTGAGGAGTCAAGTGTAGCAGCTGATCATGGAAGATCCCATTTCCATTCCAGACCCCCTTTAAGTTCTGTAGTTTAGATTCCAGACCTCCTGGCTCGCGCAGTCACATCCTGTGAAACCCGTTAAGTGGGCACGAAGCGGGTTGGTCTGGCAACACTATGGGGAATGCACAAAACTCGCAGCCGCGCAAACCACACTTTTTGCCTGCTCCCCGGATTCGTCACTGCCGAAATCACCGAGCAGGCATACGCAGGCTTAGGCCGCACCCACCCTCTTCTAGTTACTCACACCATCGCTTGGAGCTACCTGCAAGCCTAGAGCGCTGTGCAGTGTGTGTCAGTGCCGATTGGCGACCCGCTGAGGTGCCCAAATCTACCTGTTACCGGGTCGGACTCCCAGTGGTCTAGGGCGGATTACGAGGCGGCCTAAGCACGTTTGGGCGACCAGGTAAGCCGAGCAAATCTACTGCTTATCGTGTCGGGCTCCTGGTGGACCCTCGGGAGCATTATTTGCCAGCGGGTCGCCCCTGGTGTTCTCTCGGGGCTTACCGGGTGGTCCCTCAAGAGTAGGTTTACCTGTTGCTGCCGATCTGGGGGGCCTAACCAGCTGGGTCCAGGGGGTCTGCAATTGACAGAGAGGATCTGAAATTAGCGTGCTCATGCACTACGGGGTTCATTTCAGACCCAGGGTCAAGCGGAGCCATGGCTGGGGGCTATAGCGCCTGGGCCTCTAAGGGGTTCGCAGAATTACTTATGATAAATTATCCCAGAGTGCCACCCAAACAAGAGACTTGGACTGAGGTGCCGGCCCGGACTGGACGGTAACGAAGCTTGATCTTGAGGGCGCTCCTGGTAAGGACGACAAAGCTGGAGAGACCTGTAAACGAAGCAAGCGGAGTTCCGAAGTTGACGAATACCTTATCAACGCCAGCCAACATCCCCAAACTTGCGGTCATCCTCCCGACCAAAAGTGCGTGAGGTATATGGCGTATTAGCCTGCCAGAAGCACCATGGCCCCGGGTGCTGTTCCCTGTGCCATGAAACACGCGGTGGGCGCCTTGGCCTCAGCATTGCTGGAGTCGAGGAAGCTCCTCCTGGAAAAACAACACACATCTCCCACGGAACATCTTGCAGAACTGGGATCAGACCTTTCGTGATCGAATTTCATGCAAATGGTGCATGATCATGCGCACAAAACAATATGGCGTGCGCAAGCTGAGCTTAGTATAGCTTAGTTGGGTTTAGGTCTTCATTGGCAGAAGCACTTGTTTACGCGGCCCTGAGGGTGTTGACTGTGGGACGTCCTGATGTCTTCACCATTGGATGTATCGACGGCGCAGAGTTCATTGCCCAGGTCAGACTGCCACCAACGCAAAGACAGACCGCCACCGCTGCAGCATGTCGAGGCACTTTCATCGCTGTCTACATCCACAGGGCCTGTCTCCTGAGGCCATCAGGGCTGCTGGGTGATGGGCCCAGGCACCATACTATCGCCTTGGTACAAGGCGAAGAGGCCCAACGTCATAAACGCAGCATCCTGCTAGTTGAGGCCAGGCTACAAAAATTCCCAGGAAGCGTCTGCATGGCAACCGCCCGAAAGCTCGAGGTCTTGACAAGCCGTGGCCTGACTGCTCAGCATGCTGGGCCCTGTCTTCGGGGAAGCAAAGAGCACCACTGACAGAGCCTCTTCCCCTGATCCACCATGTCGATCGCCATCTGGGAAAGTCATAACTTGTTATACTGACAACTTGTGGACATTTGGCCCGTTTGAACCTAGAGTGACATACCTTCAGGTTCGAAGCACAGGTTGATGAGTGGAACACAGCTAGCCATGCATTGTTTACTTGTAATTTCCAAGCATGTCCAGCTCTCATGAACCCGCACAAATGGAAAGCAAGTTTGTCAAACACGGTGCAAGAAAATCTTGCATCACCGTCCCATCCTACCTTTACCAGCTCGGGTACACATTTTGATGCTGGCATCTTCGGCTCTCCAGCTGGGAGGTGTGTCGGGTGCAGGGCTCAATACACGGTGGTATTTCCCTCTGCGATCACATCACATTGAGGAGGTTCTTGACTTGAAATCAAGTTCGCATCTTACATCAACCCCACCCAACCCAGTTTTCCAGTACCTCGTCAACATGCTGCATGGAAGGTGTGGATTCATTCTAGACGCATGTGCACAGTAGAGCAGTAGAGCAAGCAACCGCATAAAATGGCTCCAAGTGAGGCAATAAATCTGCGCAGTAACTACAGCCCCACGTCACACGAATGATTGGTGGCCAGACTCTATGGAGTTGTACAGGATCCATCTTCAACCTGAGCTCGAAGCCCTCGATACGGCATCGCGCATGGCACCAAAAAATGAAGAAACTACCGATCAGGGCAGAATATATCTGGCTTTCGAGAACGTCCACATTGTCAGTGGAGACCTGGTGGAGATATGCGCTGCAGCAAGATCAGGATATCAAGATGGAGTCGACGATTATGTGTTCAAGTTCTTGTCCAGCCGCATGAAGCCGCATGACAATGAGCCTTTCAACAGCTGGTCCGGCACAGAGCAGCAAATAACGACAGAGTCCAAGCTGCAAGCCAGCGTGCAAAAGGTTGTCCAGCATCAGACGTCATCGCAGCAATTTTGTGGACACCATCTCTTCCGCGATTCGAGCACAGCTGTTTCATTGTGAGCGGTACTTAACACTGCCATCTAAGTTGGCACCATGCAGAACAACAATTCACATTGTTGAGGAACCACATTGAGCTCAAGGATACCAGAGTCTGTCATGCTCCCACCTGTGTCTTCTGGACCATCCTAGATAAAAATTGTGGACGCATGGCTAGGTCAACGAGAAAGTATTTAGGACAAGAAGAGCTTGTGCATGACAATGACTTGACGCACAAAGCATACACATCATCATTTGCGCATCTGCAGCCATCTGCTGGCTAATGCGACAATGCCGAGCAGCACCTGGCAGAACAAGCAACACACAGCAAGCCTTGGCCCAATCTTGTACACACTCCGATTCCATCGACTTGTGACAGCACTGCTTGGGGCAAATACAACAGCGTTCTTGGAACAGCACCGTCTGTCGCCACGCCACTTTTTTTTTCACTGCAGCCAACATGCAGCGTCATTTCCATGGACAAAACGCCTTCAAGTTGAACATTCCGTATACAGATACATGTTCATACATAATGAGCTCGACGTCGGAAGGCAGGAGCCTTACAGCTGTGCTTGCAAGCATGACGAATTCTCCATGTCCGCTTATCGTGGTACGCTTAACCAAGTGCAAACAGACGCTCAACTGGCCATGCGGCTGGTTCGACAAGTGTGCTACATGACCTGGCACTATCTGATCGCTCTGCCCCGCTGGCTGCAGCATCACACCAGCAACGCTGCAGTGTGCAATTTTGCTCGGGTTCTGCGCAGAGTATGTGGGGACGTCAAAGTTTCTTGGATCTCCACCTCTCCACTTTGAGGGTCCACATTTTCGAATCCGGATTCTGCGTGCAAAACAGCCTCCAGATGACTAGGTGCCCTACTTCCACCTGCTTTGGACTGTCATTCTTACAGGCTGTGATGCGGATGCTGGTTCTGCATCTTGGTCTGTTGAATTCTGTTGGTCGCTTGATCTCCTTGTTCCTTCCTCCCCCCCTCACCCTCCGTCCTCAGCCCGACTAGCCGTTTTGCTGCTTCATCCTGGGCCTTGACCAAAGGCCGTGCACATGAAATCTTCAAAGGCGGTGCCGAGTCCAGGATGCAAACGCAAAGATACCCCTGACAGCACTGCTACATACCCACAGCTGCCAAATAACGCTGTGCACAGGCACGTGGTCAGCGGAAGCCTAGCTGCAGCGTCCAGAGCTGGACGTGTCTAATTTTTAGCGACTGGGTCTGTTGAGCTCATGGATTTGACCAGATGTACTATGCAATGCGCTGACTCCGCTGATAGTGAGATTCTCCACTTCAGTAGGCTCCGCGGAAGTCCCCACATTTTCCCAGGATTAAGCCAAGCAAAGGCAGAGAGGACAGCCTTTCCAAATGCACTTTGGAGGACGGTTTCTTTGACTCGAGTTGCAAGTTGCTTTTCAAAAGAAAATCTCATCCGTAAGCAATATCAGTTCAGGCACCACGGCTGCACAGCCGAACCAACCCGCCAGCGTCAGCGACCTGATGCGGCACAGCGCACTAGTTGCAAACTAGTGTAACAGTACTGTAAATACTGCCACTACTGCAGCAACAAAAGTGTTACGAGCTTCTTCACTGAGCAACTTGTTGGTTGCCAAGGCCACGACGCCATGATGCATGCAGCAACGACAACTCCGGCTAGGACCTTGGTGACGCAACCCCACACACAAATGTCTTATGTCCTGTCGGAAGGATGGCTGCTCTGAGCATTCCACGGATGTTATTGCCTGCAAGATTGCCAGTAATGACAGCGCGAAGGTTTTTAACAAAGAGCTGCCTCCCAGATTTCCATTCCCAGTAGGTAGGCCACCTCTCAGTGAGGCAATTTGTCTGAAGGTCACATGTGCTGCTTGGAAAGTGCAGCCTTCGTTGGGTGGCTGAGCGGCTAGACCCTGCTTGACCTATGTCAGTCTGCCTCGACTTGACTTGGCTGTGTCCTGATAGTCCCCATCTGTTACCCATAGTTGTCTTCTGGCTCGGGGATGAAAGATGTCTATTGCTTTGTTGCTTGCTACCGGGATTGAGGTCGAGACCCAGGCGCCCCCCCCCCCAAACCCCTCACGCACTGTCCGGCACAGTCTTCAGGTGAGGACATACGATGAAGCAGCGCAAACGTTCTTCTCTCTTACACACTTCATACCTTGCAAAGCTCTTGGCATTAGAAGAATACTTTTGTATTTCATGCCGTTGATAATTGCCCCTGAGTATCTTTCATCTGTACAGATACGCTGGTGTTCCCCAGGACTCGTTTGGCTGTCTCAAGTGCAACCACATGCCAGGGTTCGAACCATAGCTCCAGTCCATGCTCCAGTCCCTGGCAAGGGTACGCCGACGAACCTGGCAGTGTGCATTATACTCTGCTTACTGCACACGTGAAAGCATGAACCTTTGCTTGCAGCTCTGAGGCACATGCGCTGCAACTCCAACCCACCTATCGTGGGCTCCAATGGGTTCTGTCTTCCTGCTGAACGTTGCGTGTGACGCGCAAGTGGTTGGGACAACAACTGCACCATACAGCTGCTTGCTGTCAGGGAACTGCGCTGCACGTTTTAGCAGCGGTGACAGCAATTGCTTGATTTGATCTATCCTCGCCAGGTCAAATGTCGGAGGTGCGTGAGATGTGAATGTAATCGTCAGCTGTCAGGACTCAGACAGGTGCAAGGACCCCATCGCCCATCAAAGTGCCATGCACAGCCCCAGATCACTTGGAGGGATTTTGCATTTTCGAGATTTAGCAGTCTTGTGATGGGAAAACGGGCGCGCGCAGGCATGAGTGAACTTCTAATCTGTGCTTCATCATTACCTTTGCCCTTGTCATCTTCAAGCAGACCAGTCGATGGAGGCATCCCTGCTGCTTGTCAACAATCAAGCCGTGAAACCACCCAGCTGTCCTAAGTGCTGCTAGAATCAACGGGATCGGTATCATGTTGCCCACAATGCAGAGCAGCATTACCTGACGAGCAAGTTTCGGGAAGTCTTGTCTACATCTGTTGGCTTGCTCAATGTGTTCACGTAGGAGAGAGCCCGTGGATTCGTAGGAGCTGGCAAAGCTGGCCTGCGGCACAGCGAGTCCCATCCAGAGACCCACTGGCACACCTCCCCGGAGCTCTACCTGCAAGTCTCGCCCAAGTTCCACACATCGCTGTCAGCCCACCTTTTGACCGTCCCCCTGGAGCGAGGCTCTCGCTAATGGCAAAGCCGAGATCAAAATCAGAATGGCCCAGTCCTGTCTTTGCAGAAGCTGAAGGTCACTTGGCCAACTTGGTGACTGAGGCCCGAGCTGGAATAGCAAAGCAACTCTTCATTTTGCTTGCCAACCGGATTCCAAGGTGAGGCCTGGACAACTCATGACAAGTTACGCATCGTGCGCGCAGCCGCTGCTGCTCAAATGGGTTAGCTAGCTTCAGCTAGAACAGTGTAGTGACGCTCCTGAAATGCGCAACCTCAAAAGAACCTCCAAAGACAGCCGACACCAGTGAGCTCAAATGACAGTGCGAACGGCCTGGCTGCAACGGCAGCCGTGGCAGCCTCTTACACGGTCGCGGTTGCAACTGTCACGACATTGGAGAACAATAAAGCAAGACATACAGCCTGCACACTGGAAGCGGCGGAAAGCCCAATGCAAAGTCCAAGCATCACACCGAGCATGGAACCTCACAAGAATGCATCAAATTAGACAGGTTCCTCTGTTCCGCCACAGATCTTCGGTTTCCATGCCTGTACTTGCGCGCTCTCAGAAACTGGAAGATGCTATGTCCTTTTATAATGCTGGCTTGGCATGCTTCATTTACAAAGCTTAAGTCTGAGAAGTGAGTACTCAACCACTACAGCTATTGAGGAAAAGAAGACGTGCTTCTGTGCGACTGCCACGTTCTGGCATAGGGGATGAAAGTCGGAGACACAATTACGTCCAGAAGACACGTTCATCGCATGACGGGATCGAATCGCAAGTCGTGGACTGGCAGCCATCCTACACGAAAATGTAATAGCAAGCAGGCATTTTTCAGTACATGGCGGTGACATGAGGAGTTAGAGTCTTCGAATAAAAGGGAGCTGCAGTCCATACAATGTGAGGGACTCAACCTTTCTGAACATAGTGTGTGGACGGAAGCCCTTTCGAACGCCCTGAAAAAGATGTTGCGATGAAACTAGGAACGTGTAACAAAATGAGCGCGTGAAAGTGACGAAAGATCCTGCGATATCCTGCGCATGCTGATGACAGAACCCGATGCGTTCCTCAGGATCAGGAACTCGTACGACGTGGCACGCTACGACACAGCAACATCTGGTGTCGTGTTCTGTGTCGACAGACCCCCCCAAAGGTATCCAAAGTACGGTCCCTTGACCATCCTCGTAGTTGTCTGTGCTTCTAGCTTTTGAGGCCTGGGAGACGCAGTTCCCGGAACTGTCGTCGCTTTTGATATCGCAGATCTCAAAAATGCCAATCATCAGAAGGATGGTGGGTGTCCTAGTCACGGTTTGCGAATTGTAGTTGTTTGTCGATGTTGCATATCTCAAAAACACCAACAGTCACAGGGGGGATGGTGCATGTTCCCACCACCCACACCACAGCGGGGAGGGGAAGAGCTGAATGACTTCAGAGGGAGGGAGGAGATACCATAGGGGGAGGCAGAGGGAACGATGTGAATTAGTTGACAATCATGGGAGAAGTAAAACCCACCACACCACGGATTGAGGAGGATCTGCCTGACCTCAGCAAAATGCAGGTCTTTATGCGGTTAGGAGTGTCAATTGCCAGAATGCTGGCAGCTGTAGGACCTGCTGTCACTACCATACCATGGGGGGGGGGAGGGGGTGGGGCGGCTGGCCAGCACTGCACCATATATCCTCTAAAGACTAGACAACATCCGCCTAACATGCCCATCGAAACCGAATCCAGGAAGTGAATTACAGACAGAGCTGACCATAATAGCAACTGTCAGGCTCACAAAGCCGACTCTGATTGAGCCATTAAATCATGTACATCAATTGAACTTCGCAAAGGAGCGTGTCAGGCGAGCTCGGGGCTTGTCGACAGCCTGAACCTGACTCTGAGTTGGTTTGCAGTTTGAATGATGTTGAGAGGCTTCTTCAATTCTTCTGACTGCAGGACTGAGCTGTTGCCAGATCTCAATGGCAACATGCCTGTTCTGCGCCTGGAGCAGGCGTGGGCATGTGGTGGTTCACTTCATTCTGTGGTAACGCCACACAGAATATTTGCTCCCTGTTGCTCAACCTGGCGGGCCGCTGGGTTCAGGCATCTAAACACAAATTTGTAGGACAGGCAGACAGCGGCTCTGAAGGCTTGTGATTTTGGCTATGACCAGGCACAGCCGCGCGACCACAAGTGCGACCATAAGTCTTTCGAGCTAAGCGGGCAGTCTGTCCGCCGCGGCTGAGTTGTTTAAGCTCGCGCAGGAGCTGGTCCTACCCTTCACTGCTAGGTTGTCACTTTACGGACATCCTTCCTGACAAAATATCTAGTGTGCATACTCATGAAGCTTCAAAGAGTTTGCACTACATGCAAGTGCAATCAGAATTGACTTGAAAAAAGCAGCAGCCTTGCTGTCTGGGAAGGGAAGCCCGAGAAGAGCTCAACGCCTAGACGAACCACCGGACCAACACCACACGTATCAAATAACCCATTGATTGTGTCGCCTGCCTGCTCTCCCATGGCCTGTCATGGAAGGAACTGCCTCCCGCGTGAGAACTGCAGGGTGAAAGACTTCAACTAGAGGAAAGGCTTGGGGCCAAGCTGCAATGCTCAGCGCTCAAGCTTACATGAGCTCTGCATCTGGAGCGCAAAAACCACTGAGCAGTATTACCCTGGCCTGTCTGCTCCCCAGCGTTGGACACGTCAAAGCTATTGCCTCTGGCTCACCAATAATTTCTTTGCCAGTTGTATCTCTCACTTGGCTGCGGGCATCTCTTGTGTCCGAGTGGGGGAAACGCCGGTGGAGTGACCTCGGTGATTTCAAGCTCCCACACACATGTCATGTCTTTATTGCTTGCTGAGAGGCTGGTGCGAAAGCAAGATGACACCCGCCCCGGCTAGTAGGGCACCTTTAGCACCTTCCAGCACTAACGACAAGATAGCAAATGCATGGGCGCGTGGTTTGCGAGGCACCTTTGCAGTCGCGGTCTAATCTGCGCAGCATTACTGCGCAGAGTGCCCTTACTATTGAAAAAATCTATAAGCTGCCGCAAACACGTGTGGTGCTCAATCTGACCTTGACCTTTGGCCTCGCATCGCATCTCTCTGCACATCTCTTGCAGAAGCTGGTTGCAGTTTTGACCTCTGGGCACTTTCGCAGCGGCACGCTGAAGGCTTTCCACCCTATTGGCCCTAGTGTGCAATAGTCCTACGGATCACAAAACCTCTCAATCGAGAGAAGGATGCAATTTATGCACCATAACAGCATGCATTAAACAATTTTGCGAGATTCAAAGTTGGCGCTTAGTTCACGCCAGCGAGCGCCTTCTTTGGAATGCGCCATTCCTGTCATATCTTTAAAAGAACTGTGGCAAGTGCAGCAAAGTGGGCGTTTGCACGGCGCACCGCTCCGTACAGCTTCTCCACACACCTCAGGGCTCACACCTGGTAAGTTGACATTTTCGCTCACCGGTTTGAGTAGGAATCGCACGCTCGTGGCCGTGCAGGTGCCGAGAAATTGCGGCCACGAATCTGGAGATTCGTAGACCCAAGAGGCTCGACCTCAGCCGCATCCATTGAACATAGTTGTGTTGCCTGCATCCAGATGGCCCTGGCGCAATCAACAAGGTGAAGGTCCGTGATCTGCCACCAATCGCTGGCATACACCTAGGCTAGAAAGACCACCCTCATGTCCTTGTGAAGTCGTCTGAAGATTTCATCCAAAGGCTTCAACTTAGACCTGTTTAGGGCCTTGGCATCCAGATGAAAGTCAGCTGGCCGACTGAAACGATCACCTTCTTGCCTGGGTGCAAACGGATGCTTGCATGGATTCCCTGCTCGCTAGAGCCCTGTGATCCTCCGAGACTTTGGCCCACCAATGATGGATGAAGCAAAGCCTTCCCAGTCTGCACAAACTCTGGAGACCTTCTCCTGCGGTGGTATATCAAAATGGCGCGGAGGGAAAAACCCAATCGCCTGCATGTCACAGCGTTACGGCCTCCCACTGATCCACTCCGAAGAGGTACCGCCTCCCACCAAAGAACTCTGCTGCCTTGGAAAGCAGGGAAGGGAACTTTTGAAACAAGGACTTCCGACAGGGGGGCAGCCTCCAAGCCCCGCTGGAGCTCAGGCCAGTGGCGGCGATCAATGACGATGTCCATATCCTGTAGGGAGGAGTTTTGCTGTTAAGGCAAAAAACCCAACCAGCCTGCCTGTGTCCAGGGCAAGATGTCATTCTCTCGAACAGCACCTCCATTCAGGTGGCTGAACAGCTTTATGCTGTTTGACCTGACCAGAACAGCCCACAACTCTGCACCTAGCAGCGTACCGTACGTGATGAAGTAGGGGATGTTCTGCTCGTGAAGCCATCCGGTGACATCTGCCAACATGAGCATCATGTAGTCACTGCAGCATCCATACCTGGGACAAGATTAAGTCTGACTCTTCACTCTGCTCAACAGCATTGGGAAGCCCTGTTTAAATGCAAGGCTCCGCGTAGACAGACTGAGCCAAGGTGCGGAGTCTGCAGCGACCTGCAACGCAAATACAGATCAAACTTCTTCGGCCCTTTCTTGCAAAATTCCCTGCCTATGCGAGGAGGTTGCGCAGGTGGCATTGCGATCGCACTTCGGAGTTCGGCAGGACACAGACTGGCAGCGTGGCTGGAGAGAAGCACTTCTGAGCGATACAGACATGGTCTGATTGAGCTTCCACTTCGTCCGATGCGCAGGAGGCAAGGGGCGGTTGAAGCCTGTTCATCCAGTTGATGCTGGTCTTCCTGTGACCAAGTGATCCGTGATTGCCTTCCTTGGTGCGGCCTCGGGAATTGCCACCTCTATGCCTAATGTCGCATCCTAAACACTTTGCCACCACAGGCGGAGCCCCCTACACAAAATGGCGATGATAGCGATGTCCTTTCTGATCCAGGACTGGACACAACAAGTGAGATGACCAAGGTTATCATGGCTGCGAGGATCGTGATGAGGGTGGATGGCAAACAAGCATTAGAAAACAGGATGAATGATGGCTGGTTTGTTGGTAATACGGAGATGACACATTAAGCTGAGGCTAAGGCTCTACCGATTGTAGACATGTGCTGATGGCCAAACAGATGCTGACACCCGATGACCATAATCCTTTTGGTGGCTATGCTAGTGATGATAAGCTTGACGAACATGATTGTGATGAGGAAGCGGCCCCTCTTGCTTCCCATGGCGGTGGCGGTGGCGGCGGCGGTGGCAGCCGTGGCGGCTGCACCAGGATCCGCAGATTCGTTGCTGACAGCAACTCGATTCTCGTCATGATATGTCTGCCAGTTGGAGTACGTAAGGCTTCGTTCCTTTCAGAGCCTGGGCTAATCGAAGCACTCATGCCAATAAAATGAATCGTTTTGGACGGGGCTAGTGAGAGCCCGTGGTCAAAACATGCACGTTACTTTACAAGTTAACAGCAGGAGCACCCTTCTTGTGAAGCTATGCCTAGGCCTTGCGAGAGCTGGCCGCCTGTATGTAAAGTCAGATGCGCGAAGTGATCGCACAGTGCCAGCGACCAACACAAAACAACTTGCCTCAACGTTCTCCCAGGCATCAGTCCCGCAATTTCCAGCACATACTAGCACAGTCTCTAGTCAGCATGAGCAAACGCTCCGGCCTGAATGGTGGGGAGCATACTGAGCTCCTTCAGATTATTTTACGCACGACTTTGCACACAACAGCACAAGGAATCCCTGCTCCTTCTTTACTTGGCTGTGTGACGAGTCTTCCTTCAGACGAGGCCTTGCAGCCCAGAAGCGGTGGCATAAACCAAATCGCCACCGCTTGCACGGCTTCTGAAACGGTCTTGGGTGCTGGCTCACGCCCCTGCATGTCATCCACACTACTGAGGGGATCGAAGCCTGAAACCACGCTATTTTGTCTTCTTCTCACTCAGCTGCTCCTTTGTGGCAAGCTTGACGCGGGCAGGAGAAGATCACGGCGTGGTCATAAGTCTTCATATTTTCTGCTTCAAGCCCATGTGTGCCTCGATCATATCGGCCGTACCCATAGCCATAGGGATCACCGGATTTGCCACCCCCTTGCAGGCTCATGCAGGATCTAGCTTATCGCGTCCCCCTCAGCTGGCTTGCAGCCCCGCATGGGCGAGCTGAGGATACGGCCGAGGCCATATGAATAATACTGCGACCTGCTAAATTCATTCATAGCCATTCAAATTCTCTTGTTTGGCAGCTTGGGGCGCACTCTCGCGATGCCAGTCGCAGCAAGACTTCAAACCTTGGCAATCTTAGCATTTTAATCTTATGCCCCATTGCGGCAACAGGAACGAGATGAGGCTGCGTCTCGTCCCAGCGCTTGTCAGCCTCTGCAAGGCCCAGGGATGCTCGCAACCTCAGAAACTCCCAATCTCAAAAACAACCAGACAAACACCAACGATTTTTTGCTAGGAACTCTGATACCATCTGTGGATGAAGATGGCATTGTTCAGCTCGGAGCCTGGGTGACGCTGTGCCTTCCGACGTCTCATCACGGCTCAGTTCAGGCAGACTCGGAGCTGCACAGCGCAAGCTCTTGTGAGAATCGGGACAGCACCTGCAATGCCGCAAGGCTCAAGTCTACATCGGTTGGAGGGATAATAAGTTGCAATTCAGAAGAGGGGCAAATCCGACCGTCGCAGCCATGATAATGATGAGGAGGACCAGGCCTTGTGCAGCTTTTGGGGTTCAAGTCCAACCAAAATCAACACATCGAGATACATCGAGGCAACATCAGCAGCGTACCCAAAAGAAGGTTGAGCAAACAGCGCCCTGCAGGGTCAGTTGGAAGCGTAGCCTGCTCACACGAAGGCCACGCAGGTGCTGCTGAAACCATTTTGACGGACCGTTTGCACAAGCCTTTGGCTTGCCGAAAAGAAAGCAGACGGCAAGAATAAGACCCAGGAGGCATGCCGTCAGCACCTATGCACGCAGAAACAGGCGGTAATGCAACCTGACAAGAGCTCGAAAAGCTTTGCCTGCTGAATGCCCGCAGGATGATCTGATGCAGGTGCTGGGATGGAGGCAGACTCCGTGGGCCCTGTACTGGCAGTCACACTCCCGCAAGTCATTTGAACCTCTTCAAGCGTGAAGACTTTGCAGTTGTTTCAACCCAGGTCTAGACCTCCAACTTCTACTTGCCAGGATAGCCGCTCAGCCTGCCATGAAGACTCACTGGTAGCAAACCCCCTGAAGCTGGCAAAATCATGTTGCCTATGATGCCGGCCTCCTGAAGGCCCAACCGCAGCCGACGCACGCTGTTTTCATAGTAGCCTTGGCCACGCTGAATTCCACAAAGCTTGCAAGGAGGGAGTTCAATGCCTTCGCGGTTCGCACCGGCAGCAATGTAGGCACACTGCTCTCCTTGTTGTGTGCAAACCAGCTTGCCCAAGATGGAACCAGGGCTGGAACACATTACACTGCAGGGGCAGGACTTGCAGAGAAAACAGAACTTGCGCAACCATCCAACAGCATGAGTGGACAGCCAGCAACACGAACTTCACACACTATTTGCCAGCAGGGATGCTCTCCGCAGATACTGTAGACAATGCATTCAATTTTGAGCATGTCTCTGGTGTGGACATGTCCTTTCAAGAAAACACTTCATGCGTTGCACTGTGCCTCGACTCGGCTGCCCAGACATATTGCAAGGTGCAGCAACTGCTGCAGACTGTGTTGTACCAGACCTGATGCAGGCTGCACAGCAAGGGGATGTTGACCATAGCTATTGCTACATGCCTACATGCCTTGCACAACATCCAAACAGCCAGCAGGGCTAAGCCCTGAACGTCCAGGCGAGAATTTCCGGGCCAAACGAGTGCCACAGCTGCCCATCGCTAGAAAACCAGGTCGCCTCCTTGTGCACGAGCCACGATCAGCCGTGCTGATTCTATGTCAATGCACGCAGGCACCCAGCCTCTACATGCACGCCATGAGACCTTAGCATACTTCGGCGCATGATGAGGCACGTGTCTGGAACGCGACGATAAATTGTCTGAGCCACGGGCAGGGGACCAAAATCGTCATCAGGATAGGAATAGCCACCAAACAGCAAGACACCCTTGGTTGTGCTGCACTTTGGTTCACATCGCAGGATGGCCTCATACTGAGTTGTTGTCGGTAATGTCGCCAAAGCTCAGGGTCACCTGGACTTGCTGTAGTTTTGATGCGTGCCCAACCCTTGAGCAAAAGCAAGCAAGGCTCTAGCAGCGGATGCACCCACACGAGGTCCCCAAGGTGCGCTTGGCTGCACCTGACGCGCAGAACAAACCATCGTGTCCTCCTTGGATGCTTCGGGCCTGAGACCACGTTTGGAGGTCGCTGCTGTGCCACACATCTCCCAGGACAACGCCGGCCTGCAATCAACTTCAGAACGGCTCACAAGTAGAGCTGTAGACCACGCATTTCGTGGCATTTGGGGACGGCCTCGCCGCAACCACCAAGGATCCAGACACCTTCAACGAACATCTTGAAGAAGCGTCTGGCTCCAAGGCAAACGCGGCAGCTGCACCGTGCTGGATCGTTGCTGTGGCTGCAAAGTCCGAGCGAGGAGACCTTCTTTGTTGCTGCAAAGTCGAGGCTGACTGTTAACTGGCTGGGTCAAAGGCCACTCGGCAGATGCTGTTCTCTGTTCCCAGTTCATTCTCAACCTGCGGACCGCAGGCGGTTGGAGACTGAGCGTAGCAAACTGTCACAACGAAGTCAGACCTGTCGACATCTGGCTGAAGCACCCAGGCCTGCTGCTTGCACTGCCGAGGAACAGCTTGGATTTGTTATGGCATTTGATATGGCCCGGATTTGTTATGGCCCGGACGTCGTTCTTCAGCATTCCTTGCTGCACTCGACCGCCCAGAAGAACCACCTCTTCGTTGTCTGCCTGCATCTTCAGCATTGCTGGCAAACAGACGCTACATGTCCGGCCTCGCTGTCCCCTGCTACACGTCCAGTGGCTTGCCAAGCCAACGCCTGCGGGAAGGGTTCCTAATCTCTCTTGGCTTTCTTGACAGTGCTCCTGACCTGGAAGGCTGCCCGTGGCTCCCAGGGTGCGCGTGCGAGCTCACGGAAGGAAAATGATGCCAGATCAGAGAGGTCCGCATACCAGACATCGTTGACCTGGCATCCACATCTCACTCAACAACCATTATTTTCGGCTTTGCGAGTAGATTCTCTAGCTCTAGGCGTGCGGCATACTGCCTTTCAAGTCCGCCCAGGCTTGAGTTGCTGCTGTCCTGAAGGCACAACTTGGGATGAGGGCACAACGTCTTAGCTCCCTGTGCCTTTGGAGTGACGATGCCACCAAAGATCAGCAAGCCACGGCCACGTTGAATAGCAACTGCACCAAAGTAGGCTCGAGGACCCCATGGTGCCATTTGCCTCGCAAAGAACTTGTCTCCACATTTTCCGCAACATCAAGACACAAGGCTCTTGCTGCATCAGATTCCAGGTGGTACCTTCATCCTCGCTCCACCACACATCTCCGAGTCCTGGCCATCGTGGACTCTAATGGCAAAGCTAGCCCCGCTATGATGCCTGTCTGACTCTTGGCTGGGTGCATGGCTGCCGTAAGGCAGAGAACGAAGAGGCGGTAGCTCGCCACTCAGCTCGACCTATGCTAGCTACAGGCTCGGGCACGTGCATGCTCGACCCACGCAAATTTCCCACGTGGAGCCCCCCAGTTGCGGCGAGAAACTGAAATCCCAAAATCTCCTGCAAACCCACCAAAACAGCCTCCAATGATGCTGCCTGTGCTGCTGGAAAAGGCTTCGGAGCACTTGATCATGCTACAGTACCAACTTGTGATTTTCTGACATTTGGAATTCGGAGAAAAAATGGTGACTGCCCCCGGAAGGACTCGAATCGCAGCGTCCATCGGCCATCAGCCCCATGATGATTTCAAGCGCAGAGGAGCTCGCTATGCCTTCGAAGGTTGGCACAAGTCACAAGACCCAAACTGGGCCGGTTGCCACCCAAACCAGATCCGAAACTCGCCCCAAGACAACCCAAACCTAGCCAGCTCCAGCTCTCACCAGAAGCAGTTCATGCTGATCCCAGCCCAAGCCCTTGCTCCCCATTCCGGTCAACTCTCAAGGATGCTGCTGATGCCAACCCGCTCTTCCTGATACCTTGGAGATAGAAACTGGCCCGAAGGTCCAGGAAATCTGTCGACTCCCTTCTCCCAAACATTCAGCTTCTGCTACCAAAGGCTCGCCGCGAAGTTCCGTCATTCAAACCAGCCATACTGCTTTTTGCGCTTGCTAAACAATGTGCCAGGATGAGGTCTGCACGTGGCGGGACAAGTAAGCCTCCACCACATCGAGCCTTAAGCAGCGCACCGCTGCTACAAAGCTTGAAGTGGCTTCTGCATCTAAGCACCCATCCCGGCGGTTGCATTTCGCCTGCTACATCTGTGTTGAAGGCAACACCGCCAGACGTTGTCCAGCCTTTTGGCATGGCTCTTCGCTTCAGCAGAGCCTTTGCCTGCAGAAGCTTCGCCAAGAACGGTTCTTGAAACGCGCATGTCACAGGTCCTTTCCCGGTTCTTTTCTTCCCTTCCTTCTCAAGCTTGGACTCCTGCGTGAAGCTTGCCAAATCGGAAGGACATGATGCACTGGCTTGCAGTCCGGAAGAGTCCTGGTCTTTGCTTGGCCTTTTGGCACCGTCCGTACAAGCTCGCATGGCATGTGTCGAAGCCCACGCAACTCTTGCTGAGACTGCGGCAAGGAGGCATTTGTGAACGGATCTACGCCAACCCCACCCATCAACCACAAGCGAGTGGCTCCCGCGAAGGCGGTGGCCTGAAGTTCAGAAGTCACTGAAGCTCAGGCTCCACGATTTCCAGACCACAATGGCCCGGACAAGGAGTTTATGTCCTGATCGGGGTGCCCAGGCAGCGCCGCCTGGAGTGCGGATTGTTTGCCGCCTCAGCACCAGATGCAAGTAGCCGGACGAGCATCCTACAACATCACATGCGTAGGCTCAGCCTTGGGCACTGCATCCTGTTGCTGCTGTGACAGCACAGACCTTTTTTCGAAAAGGAAGGCGCCTTCAGCACCTGCGGGCTGGAAAAGCGGACTAATCAGGCAGCCACCACTCTAACTTGTTATGCCTTCATCCGTTGAAAGCTCAAAGGTACAAGAGGACGATAAGAAACAACCTCGGCCATGCCAAAGAACAGCACGTCACCATGCATCATGCCACAGCAAGCCGCCTGACAAATGCCAAGTCGCGCTGATCAAAGCCCATGCCCCCAGGCTGCCAATGCCAGAAGGTAGCCGACCTGCTCTCCGAAACGGGGGCTTTGATTTAAGGGATGCTCACTTCAAGCCAAGTGCCTGCAAGAGGGATGCGACAGGCATTTCTCCAAGCATGTTGTCAGAAGCGTCCCCTGGCAGACATGTTTTTCAGCTGCTTCAGAATCAGACAGCCACTTTCTGGTGCTGGCATACTTCCATCTTGTAAACACAACTGCTCATTTCCAAACTGTGCATGTTTGCACCTGCAGATTTCCAAGATCTCTACGCCCTCGGCAGCGGCGGTTTGCCCAAATAGACCTGAGTGACACGCCTGCTTTCCTACAACATACACCTGCGCGCACGCAAGCTGAACCACGATTTGTTTTTCCAATGGACCGCACACGAATGCACACAAGATCCACACCCTGTCTGTTGGGCCATCAAAAGCATTAGCACGGCTCATGCTGTGGGCAGCAAAAACCTCCAGCAACACAGCCACTTCCTCTCAGAGGGGTGGGGGTCCCTGCAAAAAACTGCAGAAACTAGCCGTTGCGGTGGTAACTGCCTGCAGCGTGCATTGGGGACGCACGCTTCCAACACTTACACCTACGCACACACAAGCTGAAACATGACTTTTTCCAATCGAGCACCCACAAGATCCACCCTGCATCAGCGATACGGGCATTATACGTACTTGTCGCTGAATGGTGTTGCAGGGGACGCGACACAAGTGGCCGTAAAGCCGATAACAACAACAGCCGCAGGGTGGAGATTCCGCTGCGGCACGTCCCCAGGGTTGATGGAGCAGCCAGGGTTACGCCATGCGGCTCAGGCCAATCTGGCTCCCAACAGACCAGAACTACGGCCTGCGGAACCCAGCGCAACGAACCCAGCCCAGCGCAGCGGTTTTCCATGCTCAGCGCTTGTCTTACTTCTGGCAACTACACCACGCATTCTCACATAGACTAATCAGGGAGGCGCGAAATGAAGTATTTGACGTGTGGTCTGGCTATCTACCAACAACGCAGGACGCCAGGAACCAAGTGTGCCAGTGCTCCCAAGGAAGCCCATTCCTTGGACTAGCAAAGGCTTTATCTAAACCCGGTGAGAAGTTAGGCAGCGGCGGAAATGGGAAAGGTGGGATATGCGACACATTGGGCGGCCATTATTGGCAGATAATCCCCCCTTTGGATATCCTGCACGAAGAGCTTCCATAACGGAGGAGGAAGAGGAAGTCGGCACGTGGGGGTACCCACTGCCTGCTACGGCGTTTCCTCTCAGCATCGCCGGGGGGCTCCGTAAACGTCATTGCCCCCCTCCGCGAAGGGTTCCAGCGGAGAACTAGACTAATGCAGCCAAGTTGCACCAAAAGAAAAGGGAGGAGAACAAACCCACTGAGCCGAAAAGATGTGACAGTGTGACCCGGCCGAGAGAGACAGAGAGAGAGAGAAAGGGGCAGAGGCAGAGGCAGAGGCACAGGCAGAGGCACAGGCAGAGGCAGACACCAACAGAGCCAGACAAGCAGGCAAAACGAAGGACAGGCACAGACAGACTTGCAGGGCCAAGAGAGGAATGTGAGCGACACCTCAAGATCAGAAGCGCCAGGAAGATGCAGCGTGTTTGCACTCAGAGCGCCGCCGCCCAGTATAGAAAGGACAAAAAAAGAGCAAGGCGAATAGAATAGGAGCCGGCAAGAGCCGCAGCACCTGATGCAGGTCCAGCACGGTGGCAGGATAAGCGGGCGCAAAATCAACTGGCCACGCCATGGTGCGCAGAGCCGACGCGCGAAAGCAGACGCTGAAAAAAAAAAACTAGCTTTGGTAAGAAACTGGCAACAGCCGCAGCCCCGGGAACAAGCGCCGAACAGCGACGGGCAGGAAAAAAAGGCTCAGACGTGCCGACGCTCACGCAGCAACGAAAGCTAACACAGAAGGAGGCCGGCAAGAGCCGCAGCGCCGGGAGCTGGCGCCCAACAGCGACAGCCAGTAAAGGAGCAGAGCAGAGTGTACCCGACGACAAACCGAAAAACCAGCAG